AACCTACACAGGGGCACCCTAGGGCTGCCTCACCATACCCGGGGCACTGAGTTTTGAACCCCCCTGAGCCCACTCCAATGGGGCGAGGAGCCTAGCCACTTGACAGTAGGCAAGTGACACGGGCACGTGCCCCCGGCACGGCTCTGTGGTCTGAGAGCCCTGGTTCTGGGCGCGCGTCCCTGTCTCTGCTGTGCAGGTGAGAACAGTTGGATTTTACTTTCTCATGGCTGCCAGCAAGGCAGCACCTGTGGCAACCTCATTAGTCAGTTCCAAGAGCTCCTTGGTGGATGGTGAGAGGCTGCCAATATAGCAAAGGGTTTTTTGTCTCAGGTTTCGGGTGTAGGGCGTTGTGGGGAAAGAGACCCAGAGAGGCAGGGCCAGGCCAAACCTCTGTCCAAAGCTGCTCTCAAGTGCAAGAACAGGAGAAACGTCTTGGACGGGATTTTCTGACTGCTTTGATAACTAAAGTCCTTGGCTTTGAAGAAGCGTCTCAGGAATGACTCTTTCTCCAGCGAGAAAGCATGCAGACAGACGCGGAGTTAAGTGGTTTTCGGAGCATCTGTTACATGCCCGGCCCTTTAGATGCGTCTCGGTGGGAAACACTCACCAGCGGCATTGTGCCAAAACCACGGGTCAGCAGTACCAAGAGAACAGATAGATTTTTTAAAGATTTATTTATTTATTTGAAAGGCAGAGTTACAGAGATGCAGAGGCAAACAGACAGAGACAAAGAGGTCTTCCATCCACTGGTTTACTCCCCAGATGTCCACAACGGCCGGAGCTACACTGATCCGAAGCCAGGAGCCAGGAGTTTCTTCCTGGTCCCCCACATGGGTGCAGGGACCCAAGGACTTGGGCCATCTTCTACTGCTTTCCCAGGTCATAGCAGAGAGCTGGATTGGAAGTGGAGCAGCCGGGACTCGAACCAGCGCCCATATGGGATGCTGGCACTGCAGGCAGGAGCTTTACCTGCTACACCACAGCACAGGCCCGAGAATAGATATTTTTAAATCCCAAGTTGGAAAATGAGGAACTCGAGTCTGAGAGGTTATGCAGCTTTTCCAAGTTTATAAGGATTCCAAATTAGCAGAGCTGGGATCTCAACTCAGGTCTGCCTGACTCCAGAGCTCCTACACGGTACTTCAAAAGTTTGTGGGAAATGCAAGGAAAAGTTTATTTTGGTATAAAGCATTTTTGAAAACCATGCATAGTTTATTTTTTTATACTACACTTTTTAAATGAACTTTTTGGAAATTCCCTCATATATATGAATTTCAACATTTTTTTTCCACCAAAGTAAACTTATATTTTGTTCCATTTCCAAGAACTTTCTAGAGTTTGTTCGTACTAGCTCCCTCTCTTGCCTGAAGGGCCCTTCCCCCATCTCTCCAGATGTTGAAGGACTTCATCCTCACCCAGGGTGGGAATCTGTGACGGCTGTAGGTCCAGCCGTTTTGGAGTGAAAATGAACTCGGTGGGTTCTTCTTTGTGTCTTGGCCCCGTCTGGCCGTGGTGAGCTGGGATTCTCCCAAGGGAGGTTACTGGGGCCCTCAACCCTGCTCATTCTAGAACTTTCCCCAGGAGCAGTCCCAGCCCAAAGACAGATTCCTCACCAACAGCCAAGTTCATGCTGTAGGCACCAACAGTGCTTCCAAAGAGCCAATGGCAGAAAGCCTGTACTTACTTTCTGGTTTAGGGGCAGTGTTAATTTTGCAACAGATGCAGGCACACGCAGATGTGTTGATTAGGGTCCCAGCAGGAAGCAGGTGTCTTTTGGAAAACCATGTAGTGAAAGACCAGTGTCCAGGAATGGGCAGGCGGAGTTCAGGGGAGCCTCAAGGAAAGCTGAGGCCCCCCCTGGGACTAACAAAGAGTGGGAAGCTGTGGCCGCTCTGGCCCTAGAGGAACCCTGGGAGGACACAGGGGCCTGGCAAGAGCCGCGACCACAGAGGAGGCCGCCTGGTGGGAGCAGCAGTCCCAAGGGACACCAAGGCAGGGACACACAGAGACAGCAAGGGATGAAGAGACGTCCCTTCCTCCTCTTCCTCCTGCCAGCGCCTCACAGTGGCCAGACCCCAACCGGACCAGAGGGGGAAGGTAGCTGGTGAACCAAAGCTTGGAGCTCAGCCCCCCGGGGCACGGAGCAGGGCAGGTGGACAACAGGACTCCAGGGGCACCATGATCCTTTTGGTGAACAATGCAGGTGAAGCTTAACCCATGTCCTTTTCATACAACTGGGCCATGGGCATGGCCAGTGCCGAGAGATGCTGGGAATGTAGTTAGGGAAGGATCCAGGCTTGGCGCTTTGAAGACGAATTCATTAGCTACTTGGAAAGAACAACAGAGTGGGGGAGAGAGAGAGAGAGAGAGAGAGAGAGAGAGAGAGAGAGAGAGAGAGAGATCTTTGCTCTCCCGGATCACTTCCCCGATGTCCACAACAGCCAGGAAGTCTGGGCCAGGCTGAAGCCAGGAGCTCGGAGCTCCATCTGGGTCTCCCACCCGGGTGGCAGGGGCCGAAGCACTTGGGCCATCTTCTGCTGCCTGCCCAGACACAGCAGCAGGAAGCTGGGTTGGAAGCAGAGCAGCCAGGGCTTGAACTGGCGCTCTGAAATGGGCTGCCAGCGTCGCAAGAGGCGGCTGACCTTGCTGCGCCACAACAGCAGCCGCCAGGCCCTGGTGCCCGGAAGTTCCCGGGGCAGAGGCATCCTCGCCTCTGAGCGATCCAGAGGCGCCCTCTGAACCCCATGGTTGGAGGCAAGAGCCAGTCTGGACTCGATCTGGGGCAAGCACGGGAGAAGGCATAGCCGTGGGCCACAGGTGGGTCTGGGCTGGGGGCTCTGCCTCCTGACTGGGGTCTGGAGCCTCACCCAGCTCTCTTCCACGGCAGATCCCAGAGCGTACACACAGAGTTCAACAGCAAGAGAAAACATCTCCTTATCTGATTTAGAACATAAAGGAGAGACCAACGGGGCAATTCTGTTGGTTTGCCGAGATGCCCTGGAAAGCAAGCTTGGGAGGCCAGGGCCTGGGTCAGGCCCGAGAGACCAATGCCCTCTCCTAGACTGGTGTAAACAGATGGCGCTGACGGCTGACGCGGAGTTTAGGGGTTAGGAAGCAGAATTTCTGGTTTGATTCCAAGTCTTTTCCAGTGCTGATCTTTTATTTTTTTATTTTATTTTGACAGGCAGAGTTAGACAATGAGAGAGAGAGTGACAGAGAGAAAGGTCTTCCTTTTCCACTGGTTTACCCCCCAGATGGCCGCTACGGACAGTGCGCTGCGCCGATCCAAAGCCAGGAGCCAGGTGCTTCCTCCCGGTCTCCCATGGGGTGCAGGGCCCAAGCACTTGGGCCGTCCTCCACTGCACTCCTGGGCCACAGTAGAGAGCTGGACTGGAAGAGGAGCAACCAGGACAGAGTCCGGCGCCCCGACCGGGACTAGAACCCGGGGTGCCGGCGCTGTAGGCGGAGGATTAGCCAAATGAGCCATGGCGCCGGCCTCCAGTGCTGATGGTCAGCCTAAGAGCAGAGAGCCGAATTAAGCTCCACCATTACTGCTGCTCCAGAAAGGCGGCAGGGAGAGAGCTGGGTTAGCACATTCAGGCCTCCCGGGACCCCAGGGAACTGCGCCTCCACGGGATTGCTACAGCACAGCATGGCTTCAAGTGCAGGAGAGCCGGGGTTGCAGGGTGGAGACCTTGGGGCACGGCTGCTCCTTGAGTCTCGAGGAAGCTTCTCTGTGTGCAGCCCCAAGTTAGCTCCCCAATCGTGTTTACGCAGGCCGCTCTTACGACTCTTACGTACTCTTATGTAATGTGCTCTTATGCACATTACGACTCCAAATGCCAGGGTTCCCACGGGTTGAAGGGCTCTGTCCCATGAGTCCCAAGCTGCCACTGTTCTTCGGACCAACCTGCTATGGCTTTGAGGGTTCCCACAACCCCCTCCTCAGGTTCAATAATTTGCTGGAGTGACTCACAGACCTCAGAGAACAATTTACCTAGGGTTTCTGATTTCTAATAAAGGATTCAACTCAAAGAGTTGTATCGGAAGGGGTGGGCAGAGGGGCCCAGGGCTCGCACGTTCCCTCCACCTCCACCTCCCCCTTGACCTGCTGGACCTGCTGTGCCATTCTTTACACACAGACAGGAGCGGGCCATTTGATGTAGTGGTTAACACATCACTTGGGGCATTGCATCCTGTACAGAGTGCCTGGATTTGAGTCCCAACTCAACTCCCATTCCAGCACGCTGGAGGGCAGCAGGTGGTGGCTGGAGGTCTCCTGGTACAAGTGTGGGAGACCTAGTTTGAGTTCCTGGCTCCCAGCTTCAGCCAGGCCCAGCCCCAGCTCTTGTAGTCCCTTGCAGCATGGAGCAGAGAATAAGAGTTCTCTTAAATGGAAAAAGACAGATAAACACAATCTTGTCTGAACTAGGTCCATGAATGCCTTTGGATAATGTGCACACCACGTCCAGCAAAAGAGCTCACAGGAGGTGCACCCCAGGTCCAGCAGAGAGCCTTGGAGGGGGCGTCAGGAAAGGGGGGGGTCGCAGGATGGCAAGGAGCAGAATCCCACGGGACTGCAGGGGAGGCAATGTGGATGTAGACCCTGTGCCTGGATCCACGTGCCTTCCAGCGTGTGTGGTGGCTATGGGGGTGACACGAGAAAGAAGCAGAGGCCAGAGCACCCGAGGGCTGTCTGATAGATTGAAAGTCCCATGTGGCTCTGTGCGAGTGGAGGCGTTTGGTGGCCCGGTCATAGTCCACTGGGTGGACCTGAGGGCTTCTCCACCTGCCTGGCAGCCTCCTCTCTGGTCTCCTCTGTGTTATGTGCAGAGTAGACGGGCAGGACACATCGCAGGGCCCTCTGGGCTCCCCGTGCTCATGAGGCCACTGCCAAACGCCCTTTGCACACCGAGCTCCCTCCCCAGCCTCCCAGAAGCCCCACACCTTCTGTTTCAAGTGCTTTGGCTAACAGTTTCCACCGCCCCTTCCGTCCACAGAAGCAAGGCCCCAGCCGGAGCCGGCCGGAAAAGGACCTCCGAGTTCTCAATGAGCTGGGGCGGCTCAGAGATGCCTTTTATTCCTGGAGCACAGGACGCAAGGCAGGTTTGCAGGATCCAAGGCGGAACAGCACCTGGGTTTCTGGGGTGTTTGTATTTGAGGGTAGAGGTGCCAGATTCTGCAAATAAAAATACAGAGCACCTATTTAAATCTGAATTTCAGATTAAAAAAATGAATACTTTTCTCGTATAAGTACGTTCCATAAAATATCTGGAACATATGTGTATTGAAAAATGAGTCCTTGCTTGTCTGAAAGCCAAATTGCGTTGCGGGTTCTGTGTTTTATCTGGCAACCCTCCTTGCTTGGTTCCTAAACACCAGCAACTCCCAAACCAGCCTGGCTGGCTAGAGCTGAGCCTGCTGTGGGGGGCACAGCTAACAACCCAATTCCTGCTCCTCACCACATCCTTTCCAAGAAAGCTGGCTGGCCTGGCCATCAGGGCACCCAGGAAAGAAAGGGGAGCAAAAGCCACCAGCGGCCCACGGACACTGTGCCCCCTGCTGTTGGGCTCCCTGAGGCCAGCGGCCACAGGGGACATTTAGCACGAGGGAGCAGGGATGGTGAGAGGCCTCAGGGGGCAGGAGGAGGCGTGGGAAGGGTTGGTGCCCGGGACAGGGAAGGGTCCAGTTTGGCCACTGTTTTTTTTTTTTTTTTTTTTTTTTTTGGACAGGCAGAGTGGACAGTGGGAGAGAGACAGAGAGAAAGGTCTTCCTTTTGCCATTGGTTCACCCTCCAATGGCCACCACGGCCAGCGGCCTGCGGCCTGCGCATCGCACTGATCTGAAGGCAGGAGCCAGGTACTTCTCCTGGTCTCCCATGGGGTGCAGGGCCCAAGCACTTGGGCCATCCTCCACTGCACTCCTTGGCCACAGCAGAGAGCTGGCCTGGAAGAGGGGCAACCGGGACAGAATCTGGCGCCCCGACCGGGACTAGAACCCGGTGTGCCGGTGTCGCAAGGCGGAGGATTAGCCTAGTGAGGCACGGCGCCGGCTCAGCACTGGTTTTGAAGGGTCAGAGGGAAGAACTGATCTCTTCTAGAACGTCCACTTTCTCTGCGGCTTCCACTGTCCCAGGACAAAACAGGACCTGGCTCCCCGCTCCCCGCACTTGCCCTTTGTTCGATGCATGTCCTCGCCTCCTTCAGCCCCTCGGTGTTCTAGAAGGTACTGTCGGGGAAGGAGCTAGTTGTGTGATCAGCACATGACTGGCTCCAGGGTTCTAATCCCACTCCTGCTTTCACTGGCGAGGTGACCTGGACTGCTTAATGCTCTGCACCTCAGTCTCCTAGCCTGCACTTGGGGACCCTTGTCAGGGTTAAATGAGTGAGCGGGTGAGAAGTGTGGAGAGCAGCCAGCACCGTGGAGCAGACATTGTTGGATTCAACATCTTCAAACAAGCTCATGGCAAGTCATGTTCTGGAAACAAACACACAAACAAAAAAACTATGCATGGATTTCAAAATAAATACATTTGTCTTTTAATTCTGTTTGTCCAAAAAACTTGTGAAGTGACTTCCTACAAGAAGTGGGCTTGGTTTTTTTTGTTTGTTTGTTTGTTTGTTTGTTTTTTTCCCTGTTGCTGCTCCACTGACCTGTTCCCTCCATCAGCTGCACTGACTTGGTTCTAAGTCTCGGCCCACCTGCCATCCTTGGCACAAACACCTGCCCTGACATCTACTGGTCCATGTTTTTTTTTTTTTTAAAGATTTATTTATTTATTTGAAAGTCAGAGTTATAGAGAGGCAGAGGCAGAGAGAGAGAGAGAAAGAGAGAGAGGTCTTCCATCTGCTGGTTCACTCCCTAGATGGTCTCAACGACTGGAGCTGCGCCTATCTGAAACCAGGAGCTAGGGGCTTCTTCTGGGTCTCCCAAGCGGGTTCAGGGGCCCAAGGATGTGGGCCATCTTGTACTGCTTTCCCAGGCCATAGCAGAGAGCTGGATCGGAAGTGGAGCAGCTGGGACTCGAACCAGCACCCATATGGGATGCCAGCACTGCAGGCAGCGGCTTTACCTGCTACACCACAGTGCCGGCCTTGGTCCATGTTTCTTTTCCCCTCTTTGATATCTCTGTTTCCTTTTGGTTTATTTTCCTCCCCCAGGCCTGTCTAACAAGGCTCGCTTCCCCAAAGGTCCTAGTCTCATCTCTGTCAAGTTATTTTTATTTATTTGAAAGGCAGAGAGGAACAGAAATAGAGAAATCTTCCATGAGCATGTTCTCGCCCTTGCAGGCCAAAGTCAGGGAATTCAACCCAGGTCTCCCACATGGGTGTCAGGGCTCAAAGCACTTGAGCCATCAACTGCTGCCTCCCAAGGTGTGCATTAGCAGAAAACCGGAATCTGAGATCCAGGTACTCGGGTCTGGGATGCAGGCGTCCCAAGAGGCACCTTACTGACTGTACCACACCCGGGTCCCTCCCGTCCCCTTCCCTGGAAACGTCTTGTAGCAGATGGGAGGCAGCCTTGGGGGCACACAGACGTCTCTGCAAGGGTGGGCGTCCCTGCAGGAGGGAGCCTGCGCTCAGGACGGGGAGGACACGTCCGCTCTGCACCTGCTCTCTGCATGAGCATCGGCCACGTTTACAGTGATCGCTGCCCAAGCGGCATAGATGGGCTCAGGAGGAGGGGAGGGTGACTTTCGGCTGGGATCTCCGCCTTCTTTGCTGAGGATTCTGCCTTTGAGACAGGACCCGGGGGAGGGCATTCAGCGTATAGTTCAGTCTGAGCAGAGACTCGGAGTAGGAGACACGGAAGTGAAGAGAGGCTTTGGTGATGCAGGGAACGTCCAGGCCTCAGCAGAGGGTGCGGTGAGAAGCAGGTATTTTGGCAGGGACAAGGGGGGAGTCTTCCGGGTCTCTCAGAGTCAGCCAGGGACCCTCCCCTGCCTGCTTGCCCCCAGAAAGTGCCAAGGATGGAGAGATTCCTGGGAGGGTGTGGGGCTCTCTGCTGGCCTCCTAAGACAGGCTGGGGGGAGGGGTGGTACAGAGGCGCAAGCAGGCCTTGTGTGCATTGGGTCAGCCCTTCAGGTGTGCACAGCACCTGCAGCCCTGCAGGAGCCGCTGGGCCCTTGACACAAGGTGACTCTCACTGGTGAGGTAAGAGGGAGCAGAGGCTGTAACACGAGCTTGGAAATGCAGGCCCCACCCCCATCACGTGTGAGCGCCCAGGAAAGAGTGTCACGGACACCAGGACAGTTGAAAGTTACACAGCAAGCCGACACACCACGGATGTCTTCAAAATGTTTACGGAAAATGCAGATTGTGAAAAAAAAAAAAAAAAAAACCACGCGCTGGGTTTCAAGAGCATCGGCACCGAATGAGACTTTCCTTCCAATTCCATTTCCCAGGAACTTTCGGAAGCATCTTTTTGGCTCTTTCCTGCTACCTTAGCAAACACACCTTCATGGCACGCTGCAGGCCAAGAGTGAACTTGGGAATCGCTCCGAGCCCCCTGCCCTGCAATGTGATGCCCCAGGCCGGCCACAGACGCTGGCTCCATGTAGCCCAAGGCCGGGCTTTGAGCCCACAAGTGGACACTCAGTGCACATGTCCAGGCTCCACACCACCCCCAAAGCCACCCCGAGGGCACATGTGAGTGGCGCAGTCCACCCTCGCTAGCCACAGAGCTTGGGGATCAAGTTCAGGAAGAGGCCCAGGTACGCCAGGGTCTGAGTACCCGACAGTGGGGCCCCTGCTGATCCCTGGTGGACCTGGCCTTTTTCCCTGCAGATGCTTTGCCCACGGCCTGTTATGATGTGCAGGCCACATCACAGGCCCCTCCCTCCACAGGTTGGCCAGTGAAACCCGGAGGGAGGAGCCTTCCCCGAGCTGGGACTGGGTATGCGCCGAGCAGCTCAGGCCCCAGGTCATTCACGTCTCATGCCCCACACGCAGAGGGAAGCTTGCTTTCCTCTCTCACTCCCCACCAGCCCGGGCCACTTGGCTGGCCTCCTTGGCAGAAAGGTGACAAAGGGATGTGTCTCAGGAGAGTGGCATCCCTGGGCTGGCAGAGCCAGGAGCCGCCTTGGGGCCATGACCTCCAGCTCCTGGCAGGGCTTCCTTTCACCCCTCGGAGCTCAGGCAAGGGCGGGGGACCCTCAGAGCAGGACCCTCACAGGGTCTGACCCGGCTGTGACCAAACCTCTTGTCCTCCTGCCTGCACTCATGGCCCCTGGACCAGGCTTCCCCGCTGGGCCTTGCCTGCTGTTTCCAGCCCTCACCTCACTGCAGCCAGTGTGCCTTCTCCACTGTGCTCCCCCCGCCCCCCACATCTGCCCCCTGCCCTTCCCCCATCCACTCTCCTTGTTTCCATCAAAGCCCTCTCATCTGTCAAGGTGCACTCGCAGCCTCACCTCCAGGGAAGGCTCCCAAGGTGCCCATCAGTCCTCGGCCAGCTTCCTCCCCGGGCTGCTCCCCACCTGGCCGCCACATTTGGTTCCCACACAATGCCCGTGCGAGGACTTCATACCATATGGCCTTTCACTCTTTCTGAGTTACCTACACATCATGGCACCGGAAAAGACCAAGAGCACCTCTTCCAGCCCTCCCACCACCACAGGAGAAGATTTTGAAACAAATGAAGGGCAGTCACGCGACGTACAAGGGGACTTCAAAAAGTTCATGGAAATTTGGGGTTGAAAGGTGAGTTTATTTTGGTTCCCCAAATTTTGAGATCCATGTGTACAAGGGATCATTGGTAGGTTCATGGAGGGTGTGTAGGATGGAAAAACGCATGGATTTCAGTTGGTCTTTTTAGTCTCATTTCTCCGAAAACTTGTTGAAGTTCCCTTTTCCTCTTCATCTGGGCAAACGGTGCCTTCCTATTTCCTGGCAGGACGAAGCCTAGTGCTGCATCACACCTGTGCCCACCTGTGGGTCTCGAACTCTTGGCACTTGCATAACTAACCAGGCAAGAGAGAGATTCGCAGAGGTCCTGCAGATTTTCTCAGGCCACTCCGCCTCCCTGCCTGTCCCCCCAGCCCCTGCCGCCAGGGAACACCGGCAGTTCCTTCTCTTCGCAGAGAATAAGCCCAATTCCCACTCCCCTTGCTGCCCCTGCATCTCAGCCCTGAGTTTTCACTCGGGAAGTCGCACCCAAGACGGACGAGAAGCCGGAGCGGGAGGCTGTGGGCAGGAGCAGGGAGGGGGTTAGGTAAGTGGCCACGGAATGGGTCTGAGTTAGCACACGCGGGGCTTCAGCAGAGGGCGGCAGCAGTCAACGCCACACTGGGCAGGGGTGGGCAGGGAGGTGGAGGGGACACAGGGCAACCTATCCAAAGCCAGACCCCTCAACTTCAACTCCCAGTAAACTCCTCGAAGCAAAAACAGCTGGAATAGGGCAGAGCCAACGTTTTTATGCCTTTTTTTTCCTTCCCTCTCTGGTTGTCCTGCTCACTGCAAGGAAGAAAAACAGAATAATGATCCACGTCGGAGCGTGTCACCCGAGCAGCTCCGGAAAGACACGGGCAGACGCCCGGCCCCGGCGGCCGACTTTCTCTGTTTCTGGTGATTTTATAAATATTCGGGGAGTTTGATCTGAGCCTGTCAGTGGGGAAGCTGCCGAGGGGGGGCAGATAACTCAGCCCCCCGGGTGTTCCTGGACTCTCAGAGGCCTGCTTCTCATTAGTGTTGC